TTTAAAAAGCACAGAAGATTCACAAATGCATAAAAAAATCATAAATGCACACAAAATTCAGAAATACACACACAATTCACAAATGCAAACAACTTTTACAAATGCACACAAGATTAAGAAATGCACAGGACAAGATTCAGAAATGTATTTCTGATGCACACACAAATATATCTTGATTTACAAACTGTTTGCGGTCTGTGAACTTCACTGCATTTGTGTGTGAATTTTGAGACAGGGATAACCGCCTAATTGAAAAGACTGTTCATGTCTTTCTTGAACACAATCTTTCTTGCTTTAAACTCGACTGCTTACTAAACAAGCTCACTAAACGGCGAGAATAGTGTGTTGGAGGCCTCCAATTCACAACTTCTGATTCTGCATTTAAGGGGAAACTGAAGACAAAGTTTACAGACAGTAAGTGAATAAAATTAAATATATTTCTCTCTTTTCCTTCGTAAACACTGAAGCGTGAAGTCCTTCAGAGATTCGATGACCGACTTGGAGAGGCAGCTGCTTCACATGGAAGGGTTACATCTTGTTTGCCATCAGAATTCAGTTTTATTAAGTGCCCTGGATGACGCAGTGAATGTAGGAGAAGAATTACTTACTGCACGTACAAATTTAAGCAGACAAGATACACATTTATTATACACATGCAGCCTTATAACATGGAGCTAACCCAAGCTAACCCTTGCTGTCCACCTGCGTCAACACTTTACAGAAATCAATGAGATATGAGCAGATTTTTACAATTCAAAAATGGAAAGTTTCAAGTGAGTTACTAACGGACCCAAATCTGAGGGGTGAGTCAACTTTGCATAGAAGTAGAAAGGCCAGGATTGGCTGAATGCTTTCAGAAGTCGAGGAAGATACAAAAACCCCAGCAAAACAGATCCAGTCTCTCATTTACTGTACCTCACATTACCCCTCAATAACCAGCAATAATAGAAAAGGTGGCCTGTCCTTAACAAAATGCCCATTAAATAACCATTTAAATAATATAAACTGCTTTATAAAATCCTGACAGTCATATGAATATTTGATTAAACATTGAAAACAAAGATGTATTGAAGCAGTTTTGAAAATCTTAATTTAAAACATCTTTGGCATTCTCCAAGTGAGGACTAAACTGTCCTAAATGCTTATCATGAGCAAAAAGTCTTTGAATAGCATACATGGTCCACCCACACACACACACACTAATATTTAATGTATTATTATGTATTAATAATATTTATAATTAATATTGAATTATTATTTTATTTATTATTATAATAGGTCTTATTTTATATTGTCCTTTTTGTTTTGTACTTGTTGATACCATTTCATGTAAGTAATTTGGCATGAATTAAAAATAAATGTGTATAAAGTGAGAGTAGTTACCAAAAAACAACATAAAAATGAGATAATTGAGCTTTGTAAATGTAATATTGAGGATGATGATGGGAACTATTATCTGTCATTAACTGAACCCACCCAGCATAGTTAACCAGAGGAAATGACACTGAGTGAAGCTGATGTGGTCGTCTCCGTCTCCTTCTCCTAAATGAACACTTTTAATGGCCATTAGGAGAAATTATGCTCTTTCTTTTAGTCCAGTGTTACATCATCTTGTTCAAATCTCTTAAAGCCTGGTGAGGTTTTAAAAAAACTACACAGAATCAATTAGTCCTACCAGAAAAAAAAAACTTGGGAGAATAAATACTGTTACAATAAATACATTTATTGATAGCCCAGCAAGCAATAAAGCTCTTTGGCGTAGGCCCCGTCCATAGCTGGCGATCCGAGGGTCGGGACTCTGCATGGGCAGGGGCGCAGCCGACCCCCCGGGGGCTTAGGAAGAGACGGTCCTGGAGGTGGTGGGGAGGATGGAGGTCAATGAAAGCGTCAGCATCTGCGCACTCAAACATGTGTAAGTACTGGTCTTTCATGCCGCAAGTGTTAGACACGATTGGATTGATGAGAAGGTAATTAGTGACGTAGCAATTGAGTCTTCCTGGCAGAACGTCACGCTAAAGCTTCAATTTCTTGTAGGTCACATTAGTTATACTCACGTCAGCTGATCCACGTCTACCTACAGTATAGAAATACACAACGCCCATCACAGCATATGGTCAATCCATATTATCAGTGGTTTTATTACATTTACATTTACAATGAAAATAACGAATACCTAATATTCATTTTGCAGACGCTTTTATCCACAGCAACTTACAAATGAGGAATACAGCAAGCGATTCATCTGGAAGAGGCAAAAAAACAAAGGAAGTGCTCAAAATACAAAGTTTCAGAGTATCATACGCTAGAATAAGAAGAGATTAAAAGATCTTGAAAGCATTTTTTTTAAGTGATGAGGTTAAAGGCAGGGTAGGTAAATTTGAGAAATTGCTGGATTTTGAGAGTATCCAACAGAGGAACTCCCACCTCCCCCTTCCAAAGCCCCGCCCCCAAAACACACGCATGATCCAGACCGCTCAGCTAGAGGACGTGTTTACCCACATAGCAAACAGACTTGGCCCAAATGTGGCCTCATCATGGCACTGCTGGCGTGTTGCCGGCACTGGCATGCATCATGTCAGCCAATTGTGGGCCAAGTGTGGCAGTGATGGCACTGAATGCATGACGGCAGACAACTATATTCTGTGTACTGGACAATTATAAGCCTGCTACTATATATCCCCCCACCCCCCCACTGAAAATTTTTATAAAAGACTATATTTTTTATGAAAAAATATATGTCCAATTGTTTAAAAAATAATAATGAATAAATATAGTAATGTTAACAAAATTCAGAATCATTAAAAAAATATACATTTTCTAACATGATAATTTAGTTAGGTTTTTTAATTAGGCCCATTATTTATTTGAATTTGTTTTTATAAATTTGTAATAAAAAAATTTAAAAAACGAATCCACATCCAAGTCTAAGTTTTCCATACGTTTTATTTTAAGCACCACAAAATTATGTTAAAATTGTAATATCTATATTTTTTTTAAAACAACTCCAGTCGACTATTGTTGTTTTTTTTTTTCTTTTGGCGCGATCTCCACGGTAACAGCAGCTTTTCTGGTTGGTCGCTGCCCCTGAACATGAGACTGCCAATACGCGAACGGCCTAACAATAGACAGGTGCGCGGAACAATGTAACGTTAATGCCGTTAAAGTGATTCAGTGGTTGTATAATCAGATTGTCTCATGTCTAAATCTAATCTTTGACTTAAAGATTACTTTTGTTTTAGCTAAACATTCTTCAAACAATAAGAAAGCCGTTTTATTTATTCTTTTAGCGTTTTGCGTCAGTCGTGTTGAATCAAATCTGGATTACTCATTGTTTCACATGAAAAGGACATGCTCCATGTTTTCTATTTGTGTTCACAGAGGCCTGCTTATTTCTTTTTGCTAGTCATGTATTGCTGGACATTTGGCACACATTCCCATTGACTTCAATAATTGAAATTGACTTCACTAGCACAACAAAAAATATACTATGGAAGTCAATGAGACCAGAAACTGTCTGGTTACTGATATTCTTCTAAATATCAAAAAATTGGCTGAATACATTCGAAAACGGTAAAACTCATCTGTTTATCTCTGGGGGAGTGGTAAAATGAGCCTATTTCCAAAAAAAGTGGAGTATCCCTTTAAGGTTTTACAGAAAGAGTTATTTATTCGACTAATTGATTTAGGCTATTGAGAATTTGTTTCAGAGAATGGGATTTAGCGTTTTAGCAATTCAGAAAAACTGGAAGAGGGGAATACGAATGCACAATGCCTGTGTGTTAAGAGTTAGTAAGAAAGTAAATATGTAAACCGTTCACCACAGCCGGATACTCTACTTGCTAATTCTAGAATATGATTTATTCCCCATAGATCTGAATACACTTAATTACGGTAAGACTAGATCTAACTTCTATCTACTATAGAATCAAGCTGACCGACTTAACTACTTCTAATCAGGCCATGATTTCCCACATACACTTAGAATAATATTACAATAAATCAGAAGTTTTGAGGCTCACCCTATTTAAATACCGTAGTATCTAAGTAGGTCTAACAACACTAAACACAAAACACATTGTTGGCCTCTACAGTTGTAAGTGTACACTGCCTAATGGCGGTGTGTTAGTCGTATCTCTGAAGCTTCAGTCGGTGTGCTCCAGTCCGCTGACTGACCCGGCGTTACGGACCCAACGTAATCCACCAGAGAGGAAGTCAGAATAATTCCAAATATAACAATTTATTCATTGTCAGGTAAATGTGTCATGCCAATTACATACTCAATTCAAAGATAATCAATACAATAACAAGACATACGAACCGATCTGACTACAGAATCGCCCTGAGCCTTTCAGCATTTCTTTCATTTCTCAGACCAGGACAAAACATCGCGCCAACGTGGGGAATGAATTACATAATGTTTCTTAGTGAAGGGAAGGATGTGTAAAGGGAAGTGTGTGTGAGAGACATCAGTGTGTGGCCGTGTTGTGTTCGTGTAGTCCACATCTCAGGAGATCCGAGTGTCTGAGCTTCTGCTTGTTTTACAGTGTATTTCTGTATAATGTGACAAACTTGAGGAGTATATGTGGAGATGAACTGCACAGAAGAATTCCTTCAATATATTAGTTGTATATATACAACTAAATATTGAAGGAGTTCTTCTGTGCAGTTCATCTCCACATATACTCCTCAATATATATATTACAATATATTAGTTGTATTAGCTGAAACTACTAATTGTTCCCTTTGAAATGTTTTTAAATTGTCCTCAGCACAGTTCATCTCTATAGCCTTTATCTTTACATTTCACTTTCACTAATCTTAAATGATTTCTCTGTTGAATAAATGCACTTATTTCTATGCAGGTGTCTCCTTCATGAAGCACACCTGATTCAGGTCATGTGTTTTAGTAGAGACTCAAGACCAGTCAGGCAAAAGACACCTTCAACATGTGGAAGGAAGAGGTTTTGGGAACCGCCGATCGATTGGGTTATTTGGATTAGATTTTATAACATACAGTATCGGCCTATAGGCCTTGACCGTTATCAGCACCTCCGTGACTTTAGGCATTCCTAAAGGCCCTTTTGGTCAAGAAGAGGGGGTTGTAACAGGACAAACGAGTGTCTTCGTTAACTCGCAGTCCTAGATATCTGCATGACCAGCACTAATGCTCCTCCTGGAACAACCCAAGAACTCTCGCTTTTTCTCAAAGTAGTAGTTGAATCGAGCCATGGCATACCTTAGAAAGATGGAGAGAGGGAAAACGGACATATAAATACAAGTTGTTTCTTAAAAGTCTAAACCTTTTGTGAACAACAAAAGTCAGAGAGGATTACTAATAATGTGACTAGCAACCTTTAGCATGAAAAGAAAATTGAGTGTTTAATCTCTGCTGGATTTGTAAATGGGGACGGGGGTGACCAGGGAAAATACAAATAAATACTGGTTCTATAAGAGCATTTAATGGCAATAAAACTTTACCTCTAAATTATGCACCAATTATCATCGGTGACCACTAAGGGCGCTGTGGGGCGTTTGATTTTGAAAAATGCTCGTGGAAATGTGATCTTTGATGCGAAAGTTGATTCTTAATCAAAGGTCTTCTTCTAATGATTTTCAGTTTTGTCCAAGGAAATTAAAGCAACAGTTTATCAATAACAGAAGAATATGTACAAGTATGTTATTTGGTGCATAAGGCACAATAATTGTCATGATAATTCACATCTGGCTGAGGGGCCGTCTTTAGGCCCTGAGCGGCGCATGTCTGGCACTTTATCAGGGAGTGTGTGTAAAGTGTGTCACGTCCACCCTGACGTATGACCGGCGCCGTTCCCCAACACTACTGGGCCAGAGGACTGTCCATCTGAGGACTCCTATGTGCCATCCAAGACCTCGGCCAATGCTCTGGCAAACTAACACTTCTATAAACCACTCAATAAAGCGAAAATGCGAAAAACAGGCACAGTAACAGCACAAACCCATGGCAGTCGAGAAATCTCACTGTGAAATGGCCAGATATATGATGTGAAATGAGCGTAATATTGCTCGGTGTGTACTGTAGGGGCTAAACAGAAATGCACACTCACTTCAGCATTTCATGATAAATCATATAAAGCGTTCTTCTCTTACTTGCACCTCCAAAAGGTGGTTAAAGGATCAGTGTGTTTTGTAATTATTCCATACAAAACTTTGACAGACAATTTAAAATTGGTCTAATAAAATGTGCTAATACACAACATTAATACATATTATAAGTTGCAGCATGAGTACCGAAATGCTTTCTGTGTCCAAATTTGACTGTAATAATAAGCTACAACTGACACTTCAAATGAACAAAAACTAGAAGAGTTTGTAATAATGCTAAATATAGGCTATATCCAAATTATGTTTATAGATGTATGTAAGGATATTCAGCCATCTAGTGGTTACTTCTGGGTATTACAGATAATAAATGGTTCATAATTTAGAGGTAAATATTAGTAGGGTACCAAAATAAATCCCCTTATATAGCCAGAACTTATTTCCGTTTTCCTCTATTAAAAAAAAGATTTAATCACCTCTCTCGAATAGCCATTAGCAAAAATATTTATTTTATCTTTTTTTTTATGATGATGATGATTAGTGATACAAAATAGGGATCATGCGCATGTGTTAGCATTGGGCGTATGTGTGCAGAAATCCCACCCGGCAAAAGCACATTTCTGGGCGATGACACAATAGCCTTCCTAATAATGATAGCATTCATGCGCAGAAAGTGAATGCGAAATCTGAAGGCGAGTGGTCACAGAAGACGCATGAGAAACGCATGATAATATCAGGTGTAGCGGTATTGCGTCTTGGCTGACCACTTGTGATGGCGTGACCGAAATCACATCTTTCTATCCGGTGGAGACTCTGGGATATCGTATATAATCTGGGGGTCGGGGGTCTGTGTAGACCTCACCCGCTCCGGCACAGGGGACGTGCAGCCAAAGAGGAACAACAGTCTTTAATCACATTACTTTCCTGTAAAAAAAGCTTTTATAGGTTTGACTGTGATAATAATGCACACACTGACACTTGAAATCAATGTTTAAAAAAACATCTAAACAAAAATATACAAAGACAAAAAAAGTAGTCATTGATATTTAAACATCCAAATGCAAAACTAGGGATTTGCACAAACATATGTTTTATATAGAGCTATACAGGAATCTAGTGGTATTACAGATATTCATTTTAATCCTTATTAACAAATACACTCACCTAAAGGATTATTAGGAAGACCTGTTCAATCTCTCATTAATGCAATTATCTAATCAGCCAATCACATGGCAGTTCAGTGCATTTAGGGGTGTGGTCCTGGTCAAGACGATCTCCTGAACTCCAAACTGAATGTCCGAATGGGAAAGAAAGGGGATTTAAGCAGTTTTGAGCGTGGCATGGCTGTGGGTGTCTGAGTATTTCACAATCTGCTCAGTTACTGGGATTTTCACACACAACCATTTCTAGGGTTTACAAAGAATGGAGTGAAAAGGGAAAAACATCCAGTATGGGTCAGTCCTGTGGGCCAAAATGCCTTGTTGATGCGAGAGGTCAGAGGAGAATGGGCCGACTGATTCAAGCTGATAGAAGAGCAACTTTGGCTGAAATAACCACTCGTTACAACTGAGGTATGCAGCAAAGACACAACACACACAACCTTGAGGCGGATGGGCTACAACAGCAGAAGACCCCACCGGGTACCACTCATCTCCACTACACATAGGAGAAAGAGGCCACAATCTGCAAGAGCTCACCAAAACTGGACAGTTGAAGACTGGAGAAATGTTGCCTGGTCTGAATCTCGACTTCTGTTGGTAGAGTCAGAATTTGGCGTAAACAGAATGAGAACATGGATCCATCATGCCTTGTTCCCACTGTTGGGCTGGTGGTGGTGGTGTAATGGTGTGGGGGATGTTTTCTTGGCACACTTTACCCCCTTAGTGCCAATTGGGCATCGTTTAAATGCCACGGCCAACCTGAGCATTGTTTCTGACCATGTCCATCCCTTTATGGCCACCATGTCCCCATCCTCTGATGGCTACTTCCAGCAGGATAATGCACCATGAATCATTTCAAACTGGTTTCTTGAACATGTCAATGAGTTGACTGTACTAAAATGGCCGCCACAGTCACCAGATCTCAACCCAATAGAGCATCTTTGGTGGATGTGGTGGAACGGGAGATTCATCCCACAAATCTCCATCAACTGCAAGATGCTCTCCTATCAATATGGGCCGACATTTCTAAAGAATGCTTTCAGCACCTTGTTGAATCAATGCCACGTAGAATTAAGGCAGTTCTGAAGGAGAAAGCGGGTCAAACACAGTATTAGTGTGTGTTCCTAATAATCCTTTAGATGAGTGTTTATACAAATACAATTTGGAAACATTTCAAAATTATATTTTATATATTTGTTAATAAGGATTAGATTTTCAAATTATATTTGTATGTTTGTTTCTAAGGATTTCACATAGAGCATCGACACAGAGTTAGATTCAGATGGTAAATATCCTAAAATCAAGTTGGGTGTCCACTTTAGAGATAATCAACATATTTATAATGAAACCATCATATTTAAAATTGTAATTAATGATAATAATTTTGTTTCTGTATTTTAATATCTTTTTATTCTAACATTTTAATGACAGTATATTTATTGAACAAAAATAAACAGAAATACAATTTAATATCAAAATAAACAGAAAATACTACAAACTTTGTTAAAGTGATTGTTTTGAAGTATTAACTTATTTTAGCTGCAGTATTTGTATCAATACTGTGTGTCTGTGGAGTAAAAGACCTCACAACCTCATACATTTATACAACTTTTAAACAAAATTAACATTTTTTATGATTTATTTTAATATGATTTATTTTAAAATGTATTTGTATAGCGCTTTCGCAATACTGTTTCAGAGCAGCTTTACAGAAAGTGCATTTTAGTACTGTATATAGAAAAACTACAGTTAGTTAATCATGTAATAATTTAGGGCATAACATATCGCTGGCGTTGAGTCGTCTCTTAACAGGCGTTTAGTCATCTCATTGCCTATATATATATATATATATATATATATATATATATTCTTAAACATAGCTGTGTATTCCCTAGTTGCTAGGAACATTGGAATTTGGATATGTATATTAAGACTTTATTAAGAAGTACATTTTGTCAAATTTGAGATGTTTTTGCATTATTGTTACAGTCACATCACACAAAGACAGAGAAAGCATTTGTTACTCACACACTAGCTACATATAACAGCTTCTTCAGTCACACAAAAGTAATCAGAACATTGACTATGAGCTATTACATATCATTTACATTTTATTTACTTATCAATTTAATAATTTACTTAATTTGACTGGAAATGGCTCACGAAATGTCAATCGGTGTCCATCATTTTGCAAGCAATTGGTGATAAAGGAACATGCTTGTATCGGCCCTACATCAGAACAGTGAAGAACTCAGAACTCATAAATCGCTCCATACACTTTCAAACACAAAGCCCAGACGCTCCGTCTATTCTCCCCAGTTCTCCCCCGTGTGAGATTTGGGAAAGGTGTGTGTCGTACCTGTTGAAGTCAAAGGCAATAGTGGAATGTTTGGCCTGCAGAAGAGCCCACAGACACCAGAACAAATGAGCCACCTGGAGAAGACAAGTCGTCTAATATTAGATCGTTTACAAGCATGGCAACAACATATTATCTATAGCACACAACTTTTAATATTTAATGTTTTGTTAATCTCAATGCTATAATGAAATGACTTAAATTTCAGCACTAAAGGATGAAAGCTAATGAATATTAATTATTTTAAACACCAACTAAACAAGCCAAAGACGGCAATCAGAACCCAAACTCTTCATCAGGAGACGGTAGTATTATAAATCAAGAGTGAATCGGTTAGAAGAAAGAAAGGTACAGGCAAGTCAAGTGCCCCTTAAATGTTCTAGGTCTTCAAGGGTTAATACCAGGACTAAAGGGGCACAAGAAAGGACAAAGCGATCTGTAAGAATGGACAACATGAGCCTTCCTCCTTTTCTTGTCCAGTTTGCCATGGGTGTAGCAAAGACTGCCATCCAGTTTGTTCTGAACCCACTTTTGGACCATATAACAGTCCAATCAAAATAGAGAAAACATTTTAATATTTTCCCTCCAATTGTTTTCTCCATGTTACCAACCTCTTCCCGCCTCTCAAAAACACTCACCAAGGAGAACTTGCAGACCTGCACGTAGAGCTCCAGGACCTCGTCCCGGGACACGGTGGAGTCTGCCGCGCTGCAGCTCTTGAAACTCTCCAGATACGCCGACAGCCAATCAAACTGCAGCTCGCGACTCGGGTACAGGCTCGAGTCGACGTTATCGATACCTCAACATACAGGACACGTGATCACTGAGTGTGTTAGACAGGAGGAGCACTCAGAACTTTTAAAGTGGGTTATTATTATTAATATTTGTACCTGCAAATTCATTGAAATGGTTTCCAATATCATAAGCTTGGTAATTAAAATCAGCATATTCATAGTCAATGAATTTTACTGTGCCTACAGTCAGAAAAAAAATAGTTTAGTTATTATGAATCTATGGAAAACAATACCAGAGGCAATTTAATAAAATACAACATGCTCGAGCGATCACTATATCTCCGACGTTTGCTGAGAGCCCGTGTCTCTGCTGAGGTCTCTGTCTCTGCACAGTGTAACTCTCTTGATTGTTTATTATTTTTCAGGACAGTAGTATTTCATTTAGATTCATATAGAGGTCAGTGGCCGAGGCGGTTTGATCTAAACCAGCTCAGTCCTTTTCCTGGAGATCCAGTACACCTGAACCTGCTCATAAAGATCTCCAGGAACACGTGTAATACAGACAGGTGTGTTGCAGAAAGGTAGATCTCCAGGAACAGGATCGCCACACCTGATCTAACCTGATGTGTAGCTTAATTAGAACTAGCATAAGATCCACTTATTATAATGATAATGTTAGTCACCTTCTTCTTTGTTATAGATGACATTTTTAGTCAGGAGATCATTGTGACACAGCACGACTGGGGAGTTGGTGTGTGTGAGCAGAGTCTTCAGCTCCTCCATCTCTGTGATGATGACTTTAAGGCTCGGTGTCTCCACATGGCCACTGGACCTAAAGCCGTGAGAATCGTCACTAATCTGAACAAAAATAATGATAATAATACTAGAGCTTTTTTTAAATTAACAAGACAAAGCAGCTTATACAATGTGACCAATGACTTACACACACACAAGCCAAATATATAGATGTATATAGTATGAGTATAGTGAGTAGTGAACAGGTACAGTGATATGTTCAAGCAATACTGTGGGTTAATTTGTTGTGAAATAATATTAATCATTATTATTTTTTCCTGGTGACGTTGTTGAGAGAGAAAAAAATATAGATATAAACTCACTGAGTGAAAAATAGATATAGAACAATTTGAAACAATCATAATAATATGAATAAAAGTTGTAGTAGAAGACGTAATAATAATAATAATAATAAATAGAGCTGCAAGCAGCAGTTATTGGGGCCAAGCTCAAGAAGACGATGAGTGTCGGACCAACTGCAGCAGGCAGCAATTCAAGACATTTTATAAAGATTTTAGACAAATGGCTGAATAATCATACATTTACTAATAATATGATTTATTGGTTCCCTTTCGCGAATAGTAATTTCTTATTGTGTAGCTAACAGGCAGTGGGGAAACTCCTTTACTCAAAATGTTGAAGCTTTCATTTAAAGCGCTGTGCATCTTCACAGTGAAACACAGCAGAGCCTCTAGCGTACTCGACGGCTGCGCTGCGGCAACTGCACATCCACTGGCCGAGCACCTGTGAACGCACGACCAATCGACTGACTTGGTGCCGAATACGCCAGAGCGTGCCTTTAATGGGCGTGGCCCAAGTCTATAAATACCGCTCATTTCGGCCAAAATACCATATTTACTCAACTTAAGCGACACTTCAAGTCTCTGAGTCCTCACCGAAGCTTTTCACCATCAAAGCAGGCCAGATCAGCAAGCCTTGAAAACAGCGGACAGCTTACCCGGAACGCTTCTGTTGTGCTTGCGCTGCCACACTCAGCTTTCTGAAAGAGCACATTTCTAACGAGGCGTTGTTTCAAATGCCTCTTCATCTTGCACCTCATGCAGAGCTCGTCCACACGAAATCCATAACACTGAAGATGATATATTACATTTTGGTGAAAATCCAACAAACAGTCTGGGAAAGAAGGTTTTGAAAGCAAATCAAAATGGCAAACAGGAAGTTGAGCCAAAAATGGCAACAAGTCTCTAGGTCACCAAAAGATTTCAATTTCTGTAAACCCCAAAGCTGGAAAAAACTGGCTCTGACAACAGAGTTTATTTGCTTGTTAAATTTTAACTCAGAATCAACTATAAAACTCAGGTTCTTTACATGAGGATATTCGCTTGCAGAGGTCCAAAACTAGAGGTCAGCCCGTCTACCAAATGGGGGGAGCCACATAAAATGACTTAGTCTTAGTTTTCATTTAACTGAAGAAAATTATGCAGGTTTTATTAACAACTAACACTGACCCTGTACAACTGGGTAGCATCCGCATAAATATGATACAGAACCTTGTGAGATTAAATGTAACATAGATGGAGCATAAATAAGGAAAATAAAATCAGGCCCTTGCGGTACTCCACCTGTGACAGAAGCAAGCGATGAATGAAACTGACCCATCTCCACAGAGGAGCTTCTCTCAGAGAAATAGGACTCAAACCACTCTACGGCTGAATCACAGACACTCGTCTCGGTTTTTAACCTTTTTAAAAGAATGCAGTGATCCACTGTATCAGAAGCTGCACTTAAAGGATTAGTTCACTTTTAAAAAACTTTTGCTGATAATTTACTCACCCCCGTGTCATCCAAGATGTCCATGTCTTTCTTTCCTCAGTCGAAAAGAAATTAAGGTTTTTGATGAAAACATTCCAGGATTTTCTCCATATAATGGACTTCAATGGGAACCAGACGGTCCAAGGTCCAAAAGACAGTTAATAACAGTTTCAGTGCAGCTTCAAATGTCTTTACACGACACCAGACGATGAATAAGGGTCTTATCATGCGAAACGATCGGTTATTTCAAAACTTATTCCAAAAATGTAACTTTTCTAAGGACGAATGCTAGCCTTGCTCTATTCTGTGAGGCGCGTTTGTAACGTCACGTAATACGTAATTACGTTCAAAAGGTGACGGGCGACGTAGCCGGAAGTACAATTTCTTTTCGACTGAGGAAAGAAAGACATGGACATCTTGGATGACATGGGGGTGATTAAATTATCAGCAAAAGTTTTTTCAAAAGTGAACTTCTCCTTTGAATCCAACAATACCAGAATTGCACGGTAACACTTTATTTTTACGACCCGCAAACAACTGTGTAAGTACACTGAAATTACGTTTCTGTAACTATAATGTACTTCCGTGTAGTTATAAGGGAACAATATGTTAAGTTTGGGGTAATAAAGGGGTAACAAGCAGATATACAAGCAAATTATTTAATTAGTTAAAAAATAACAGGTCTAACGTCTGTTGTTTATAAAACATATCACATTTCTGGCAAAATATGTTCTTGTGCAATGTTACATACTATGATAAAAATTAAATTTATTGGCATTTCTTACTAGATTACTTAATGTTAAGTCAAAATAATTTGTTTTTGCTATGATTTTAATTTAGACCGTACCATGTAGTAATTAGTACTCACCTTATCCCATTGAATTGCAATGACACTTAAATGTCAGGGCAAATATACTGTGTAATTAAAACATTTTTTTGTTTGTTTGTTTTTGATAACAGTACCTTTCTCTGTAATTATTACAGTGCAAACAGGGTTGTTTCGTATTGCTACATAGTATGTAGCTTTATTACCCCCGTGTTCTGTATAGTTTCAGGGTAAGTGTAACTCCTGCGGGCTGTAAATTAAAGTGGTGCTTGTTACCCCTTTATTACCCAAAACTTGACATATTGTTTCCTTATACCTACACGGAAGTACACTATAATTACAGAAACGTACACCGTAATTTCAGTGTACTTACACAGTTGTTTGCGGGTCGTAAAATAAAGTGTTACCAATTGCACAATTTCCAGAATCCACAAACAATAACACTCCACTCTTAACAAGGCCGATTCAGTGCTATGCTTAGATCAAAGACCAGACTGAAATGGATCAAATATAGTCTTCTCAATTAGATAAGGGGATAACTGATCATGGTCACTCCCCCAATCATTTTTTTGGGGGGGTATATAGGTCCTGGCCACGGGAGGGCCTGGTCCCCCAAAGGAGGGTCGTCTCTGCCATGGCCTCCTGAAGGATCATCTCCGCGTTGGCCGCCTGCTCCGCCCTCTGGGCTTCCTGCCCCTGTTAGCCATACCCTGGTCAGCCTCCAGTGTGCCCACCACAATTGAAATTGAAGTCAATATGTAGAGAAAGACTACACACCTGCGCTCATATATATTTGCACATACCTATAGACTAAACACATACACAGGTTCACAATGTCTGGGTTTTCACATATTCATGTTTTTGAAGTTTGTGTAGATCAAGGTTTGTGTTTTCGAGCACCAAACACTGTTGTTGTGCAGATGAGCGGGTTTTCTGGTTTACTGTTAGAGCGGTGTCGTGTTAGCGGCCCCTAAGTTAATAACTAATTATCTGTGCAGTGGAAATGAATCAATGATGACCAAATAAATTGTGAATTATTCGTGTTTTTTTAACAGCGGTTATGGCATATACCTCTACTCTTCCATCTGACATCCATTCCATTCATTTCATTTTCAGAAGGTGCGGTGATGGGAAAATGCATGTCATCAATGCATCCAACCAATGTTTAAGATGTTTTCTTAGAATATAACTTAATGTAATGCTGAAAGATTTTTTCTGATGTTAATCAAAGAAGATGTAATAATGTGAGACAATTGTAATGTTTCAATATTGTGGAATTCACCTTTTACATATCCATCCATTTTCCAAAACGCTTGTTTTGTGTAGAGTATTTAAAATCATTACTTTCAAATATGAATCTACTATTCAGCAACATGTTTCATAACACTGAGATTGTCTTACCTTTGCGGTTTAGGAGCATCAGAACTCTGGACCAGGTTCAGGAACTGGGACAATCTAGACCACAGAACTGGTGTCCCGGGTGTACTGGTTCCCATTTCTCCACACTTTATGGAATGGATTTTTCCCATTTCTGTTGCAATCAATCTACAGTCAATGAAATGTGTCATTTCAGTTGATCATATTGAGAAACTGAAGTAGCAATATAAAGAAACATTAGCTTTCATCTAGCTAAGGTAATTTAGGTAGCCAAACCTATACACACCTACAATCAGCCATATTGGGGCCTAACAGCTTGTAACTTTAGCACTCCAGGATACAATTAAAATATATTACAAGGTATAAATATATCCTTATAAATATATCCTCTATAGAGATCCAAAGTGCTCTGGTCAATGATGCTCAACAGAAAGCTCTGAGAGTTCATGTGCCTTTCATTACCTGGCATTGTTTTGAGTGTGTGAACTAGACGTGTGTTTTGAGACCTGTAAACGGAGGGCTGTCTCAGCAGTGTGTCGTCCAGCACGACTCCTCTGATGAACTCGTAGCAGATGCCGTTGCTGAAGCTGCAGAAGAGCTCTGGCCCACAGCCGTGTGTGTGGAGCACCTGGAACATCTCCAGCTCTTTGTCTCGGTCCAGGAACAGCTCCGTCATCTGCCCATAAATCCTCACCAGAACCACGGGATCTTCCGTCATAGAGCCCACATAGCAGCCCATTAACTGGTTGGTGATGCCCTCAGTGAAAGCCTAGGCTCATTGAAAACAACAGTACACAAATAAAACAGTTGTTCAAAATAAACTCTGTCTGTTTTTACTATAATAATGCACATGAATCATATGGACTAATCGGCGGGCAAATGTTATATCTTCAGTGTCCCGACTGCATTAGAAGGGATTATATCAAGACTGTGACTAGAGATAATTCCCGTAGGAAAAGGAAGCTGGGGAAAAGAGAAGGAGTTAGACTGTGACTAATATAACAACAGCTCACTCGTATTCCTGAGAGGTAAATCTCGTGTCTCTGTGCCAGATGTGTTACTGTAGCTCTGAAGACTCATGCCTGATGTTAAAGGGGGGGTTGATTGCGATTTCACTTTTTTGATTTTAATTAGTGTGTAATGTTGCTGTTGGTGCATGAACAGTATCTGCAAAGTTGCAGCGCTGAAAGTTCAGTGTAAGCAGAGATATCGTCTTTTAAAAATCAGGAAGTATAATTGCCTACAAAAACGACTGGATCGGGACTACAGCTGGGTTATGGTACGTCACTAACCCACACATTTACATCAACCCTCCCTCCGGAATATGCAAAAAAGGGCATGCGCATATTTCTGCGGCTCGTCGAGTGTGTTGTTCATCCAGCTGTCAGGTCTTCTGTGTTCGAGCTTCCCACAGACGCTTTACTTCGTCAACAATGGATACAATTTATGTTTGATTATGTTCCTGAAAATGACGATGGTAATCTAGCTCTCTGTGCTGCGCATTTACGGAAGATAGCTCCCAGAATCTCCACGAGTTCAACACCGGATTCAACAAGAAACTGTTACTAAAACATGAAGCAGATCCGACTTTAAAACCAGAGGCAGCAGTTGTTGGGCCACAACCTGTAAGTAGGCGAAGACTTCATCATTTTAAATGCATGTGCATGTATAATTCCAGACTTAGCCTTGTGTTTTATTTTTATCAAATGCCAGCGCTAGCTTTATTGCCACTAGGCTATTAGTTATGCTATTTTGTGTCTACGACAAACACGTACAAACATGAATTTTGTATAAGTACTAATGTTGTAAATGTATTTTTCATGTAAATATGTTTTATGATGTTATTTTCGATTTGATCAAGAACGTAAACTAATGATCATAATTACTCCTCAATGGATCGAGTCCAATTTCTCGACCCAAAAATGTTGTGGGCGGAGTTCAGGCTGGCATCCAGGCTACATTCTTTGTGCAAGGTTCCTCATAATGATATCACCTAATATGGCCATAAGGGGAGGGGCTTTGTCTTTCTCAGGTGTGGTGAATATTCGTGATGATTCACACCATAAAGCTTTCTTACACAAAACATGTCTTAGAAATTTTAAATCAATATATATTTGTTTATCTGTAGTAGTCTGGATAATTTTCACATCGTTTTGGAGCAAATACTCTAGGCTATGTGATACAGTTTTTAAAAGTCTTGAAATAATCAGTATGGGTTTCATGACCTTATTTCAGTGGGGATTTCTTTTTTCACAAACCACACATAGACGTAATTTTCTCAAAATTGTACACACATGCTGCTGACATATTACTGTAGCAGAGTTTGTGCTGAATACATTGAATCATAATACAGTGTAATCAGACTTTAGTCGTGAAAATGTCACAAGTAACAGAAATAAGCCCAAAAACACCTCCACGATCTCATTAGAGTCCTTTTGATTGGACTGAGTTCTCCTTTTGTCTCTGTCGGCTCTTGTTAATGTATATCAATGTTACACAAATTAAACCAGTATTCTGTTATTATTTTTAATGTTTTTGTTATTAAATGATGGTTCCTGTTACTCCTCTTCTTTGAGCAAGTTTTATATTCCTGTTACGTAACAAATAATAACAACAATACATTTTTTAAATATTTATTTATTTTTGTGAATTGATCAGCTTGCAAATCTTCCATTTATTTGGGAATATGAAAAAATGTGCCTTTTTGATGTGTATTTTATCAGCAGCTCTAATGGCTTTACTCAAAGTATATCATTTCATTTATACTTAACTTTTAATTTTTTATTAGTCAACATGCATTCAGTTCTAACCAATCAAATGTCTTTAGTGCCCCATGAGATCCACACAAATGCACACATATGAACATTTCAAGCTTCAAATAACAGTGGTCATGTTGGACTGTGATCTGTTTGGACTCAGTGACCGGAACATGGCTATATTTTAACTTTTGTTCTAACCCTCTGACGGATGCAATAAATACTTACTATTATTACTAATTACACTTTTTACTTATTACGTTTTCTTTTTCTTTTTTTTAGAGAGGGAGTTACACATTTGTAAATTGTGTTGAACACCATGCATTTAAATTGTGATAAATTACAATGGAAATGTTAGGTAAGCCATGAATATGCATTCATTAATCATTACATCAGTTCTATTATATTAATATATAGTCGAGAGGGCTTTGACAGGGGCGGCAGTGGCTCAGTGGTTTATGTAGGTTGTCTACAAACCAGAAGGTTGGTGGTTCAAGACACCTAACCCCAGCTGTGTGTGTGTGTGTGTGTGTGTGTGTGTGTGTGTGTGAGACACCTAACCCCAGCTGCTCCTGACGAGCTGGATGGCTCCTTACGTGGCTGACACCGTCATCGGTGTATGAATGAGTGTGTGAATGGTTGGCAATATGTAAAGTGCTTTGGTGGCCACTGGGTCTATGAAAGGGTCTATATAAATGCAGTCCATTATTTACCTTATACCGTACAAGTTTGGAGACATTAAATTTTTTACTGTTTTTGCATGAAGTCTCTTCTGCTCACTATTTTCTGCCTAACATTGCTTAAAGGGTAACGAAACCCTAAAGCAACTTTTTCTAGTTAATGATCTGTAAGAATGGAGCTTAATTAGTGCTGATCATTGATTGAGTAACTTTTTTGATATTTGGGTATAAAGTGTTTTAAAGGTGGCATATGTAATAATTGAGGTAACAATATACGAAAAATGAGCTACACGCATCAAAAGAATGAGAAGAAATAAGTGCAAAGATGTCATTAAAAAACTGACAAGTTATAGTGCTGCCGAGATATTAACCTGAATTAGCATGCTAAATTACTAGCCCCGGCCCGGCAGGTGTCGTAATACCAGTTCCGGCCATGGGAGGCGGTATGCGGACGGGCAACGTTAGCACCAGCCAAACTGCAATAGACGAGTGAGTCGCGCTCGCGCCGGCTTGTGTGTGTGTGTGTGTGTGTATGTGTACTTGAACCTGATGTCAGTCGTGTGGAAATACAGCCAATTACTACATTTCAGTTCAGGGAAGAGTTCAAAAAATGATTGGTCGACATTATGCATGAGGAATACATTTTGGTAAGTTGTAGCATACTGTATCTTTCAACAGAGTTCATGTTCTTTTTCCAGCTAGTAGAGACGATCGGTTCACGTGCGCTAGGGATCTGTAGTGTAACATGTACAAGCGCCAAAACGGTATTTATTCTTTGAATTGCGTAATAAAATTGACAGAATCTGAGCTTAACTAACCTGCTTGCTAAGTGTCAATTGCGTGTGTCTCACGGTGAATTCACGGCGCTAGCTTGATCAACATCAGCGAATGCTGTCTGTCAAATTAATTCACTAACAATAAAAGTGTAATATGAACAAAACGAATACCATAAACTTCAAATAATTGCCCAAGCTTTTATTTTCCCATACCGTCGAAATGCACCAGCTTGTTTTTGAGATCTATGAGGCGGTCTTCATCATTTAGTGTTGAGATTCATAGTGTTTAGTTTAGTTCACTCTAGTGTTTAGTTCATTGAGTCTCTGATCTCTAAAAATCTCCAAATGTTCCACGTGAAACTGCGGTCTTCCAACCTTTTACTATCATGTCAAATGATTTGAATAACATGCGCGTTGGTAGGAGCACAAGTCATTTTTTGGAGGTATACTGCCCCCATCTGTTATGGAATATGGAGTAGGATTAGATTTATGATGTTAGATGGCACCTTTAATTCTACAATACATGGTCTATAAACATCTGAGTGCTGCCCTCTTCAGGTTGACCGGTGGTTACTGCAGTTGAATTTTCCTATTGGATGTTTGCGGTGCTTCGTGACGTTAGCGGTGAGAGCTGACATAAGCAGATTCCAGCTCACCACGCCCTTGGTACGAGCTACCACGCCCTCGGCTGTTCAAAAACCATCTTGTTTCGTCAAAATCAAGAGTCAAGTGTTGGAATTCCGAGTATTGAAAACGATCAGCATAATGTATTGTAGTATCTATTTAGCATAGCATTTATATAGTTATTTAGATTATTTTGTGTAGCCTAGTTAGTTAGTAGCACCCCAGACAGCAAACTGACATTGAATCAACGTGGAAACGACGTCTCTCATGACATTGAAACAACGTTGATTTTGCTCATCGAGCAATGTCAGATCAACGTTGTTTCGATGTCATATTTCCACGTTGATTCAATGTCAGTTTGCTATCTGGGACAGTACGGTTAGGAAGACCCCGAAGCCATCGCCAGGCGCCGTCATTTGCGCCATTTATAATTTCAGCCGCCGCCAGCCAATAATTTCGTAAGCCAAATTGAGCCGCCATCTGATAAAGTTTGGCTGAGCTGAGCTTTGATTATTTGCATCAAATAATAATTCTATCACATAGAGACACACACACACACACACAAAATATATAAACAATAAACAAGATCTATTTTCCCACTGGATTCATAACAGCGCAGTCTTGGGCTCGTTGCTACGATACACAGACTCACAGTGAATTTTCCGTACAGAAGAAGCGATGCATTTTTTTCTCGCACTGAGGTGAAATGGCGGAAAGAAGAAAGCAAGGTAATTTTGATCTCACTTCTCACATACTTTCCCCTAATTCCTACTTACTTTTTTTTTTTTTTAAACTTAGGCCTACCCAGACTTTTGTTAAATCTTCAGGGCACGGTTGCACAAACACCCGAATCAAAGACTGATGTTATCAAGGTTCTCAAGTCTCACGCATTGGCCGTGAGACACACGCAATTCAACCAGTTCACACGCTCGGATAGCAGGATTAAACAGATTACAAGCAAAACTAAGAAACCAAGCAAAACAACGTCATTAGATACAAAAAAAAAGACAAAAAAAGCATTAGTCTTTCTAGTTACATTAAGGCTACATGTGTTAAAGCAGAGTGCTCTGGGTAATATTTTATATCCTGTTAAAACATACACTAATCATTGCCATTTTATTTGTATTTTTCAAAGATGTCAGGGAAAAAGCAAAAAGATATTTGTGTACACACACACACACACACACACACACACAAATACCTTAATATTCTAATATGTCCATTTGTTCACAATATCCCACCACACAATAAATCATTATACCATTTCGACAAGACACATTCATAATGCAAAAAGATTTGTTTTTTTTAGAGCAATTTGTTATATTTTTGTAATTTTTGTATATTTTAGAAATATAACATTAAAGAGTAGGCTATATTTGATGTGATGTCAATTCTTTAAAATTGGGCAATTCCAGCGTTATGGACATTTGCAGTCAAAACTTGCAATATAAATTCTCAAAAAATGCACGTTTTTCAACAAATCAACCAATTTTTTTTTTTACTTATGGCCGATAACTAGGTTTGACCATATTTGCCGATAACCAATTAATCAAGCAATATTTTTTTTAATGGATACTGGATAAAACAAAATAAAGACTCCAAGTAAAGCAGTGCTGAACTAAATGAAATAAATGTATACATATGAATAGATTAAAATGAGAAGTTCTACAAAACGAATTCTACAGATAATAATAAACATTAAAATATTCAATAGTCAAATGTGTTTCTTTAGCTATAACCAAGAAACCATAAATGTAAGCCTGTATTGCACAGCCATTGAAGAGCAGTGGGCCACGATCAACAGCCTGATCAACTCTATGGATGGTGGTCACAAGTTTTCACAAGCACCAAATAACATGTGAAAGTATACATATAATATACATATGTCTAATTTCATTGCTATGCCTTTGTGTGTAAAGATGACCATTTTTAAGCATGACTGTTTGGGTTTATATGAAATAGTTAAACTTTACAATAATCCATTTGTCACCTATCATAAGGTTACTAAAAGTATTGTTCATTGTTAGTATCAATATGAACTAATACATTTTAACATTTTAAAGTCATCTCATGTTTCTTTAAACTGATTATATATACAATATCTCTCCAATGTAACATCAGATCAATTGGATAAAATCTCTACCAGTGCATGGATGTAAATGTTAAAGTATTCAGCCCTTTAAAGTGAGCAGGCCATCTTCCGTTTCCCATTCAATATGTAGGGGAAAGCCTTTTCCTTTTTAATAGAAATGATTATGGAAATAAGGAGTAAATAATGAAACTCATTGTCTTTCAGTCAATACTAAACACCTACACAAATTGTTTTTTAAATTATTTGTTTGTTTGTTTTTTTAAATGGGTTAGGGTTAGGATAATGTCGAATAGTTTTGATAATGAACTTGCCTTGACCTGAATATCTTCTGGTTTCCACTCTGGCCGCAGTGTCTTGAGAAGTTGTGATATCCCGTGCCGAGGGGTGCGCTCATCAATGCACACATCTAAATGTAAACTCTTGTAACGTCCCTCGTTGGGATTCCTTATCATTTCCATTATTTTTTAGATGGCTTCACGGCTCAGATAATCCAAATCAGTTACAGTATATGAAGGGCTAAGAGAGATGTGTTTTAGGGCTTGTCAGCGTTATGATCTTATCTCGGTTGTTTATCGAGACACTGTCAGGCTCGCAGGACCCTCTATGTATTCAGTGACTCAGCAAATCTTTGGATTTATCAAAGTGCAATGTTCTTTTGGGTATATTCATTGCTTAGTTAGTGAAGAGTTTACTTATTAACCCAGAGTTTAAATGAAGTAAATATAAATAGAAAGGCCTCAATACTTGATTTAAGCATAGATTGTGAATGCAATAAGCCTGTATAGCAAAATATTCTGAATCATCATTAGCCAACTATGGACGTAAACCGCTGGTGAATAGATGCGAGTTATGTGGTTGTATGGGAAAAACACCCCAGACTGACTGACTTCTACTGGATTTCCTGGCAGCGTAGTGTGCCTTAAACGATTCGCTAGCTATGTTTATGAAGACAGTTAAGAAGGGTTAGAAACATTAAAGGATATTTCTTCACATATACAGGCTGGAGCCATCTTTGGAAAACAGTCTCGATAAGTCGATCCCCGAACGCCGTTCATACAGTTCAGAAGATTGTTGAACTTCACACAGTTCAGCTCACTCAGCACGACGTTCGTGGTTTGACTTATCGAGTCTGTTTTCCAAGATGGCTCCTGTCTGTATACTCGAAGTGAACTGTCTTCATAAAATATCTTCTTATTAAACGGTCTGTACACTTACAAAGTTCTCAATGTTTCGTTTTGCATGTATGGAGCCTCATTATGTTACTGCGTTAGTGTGGGGCTATTTTGAACCTTGTTAGTGGTATAAACTAGCGATTTCTCTTTACTTATTATATGCCCCCATTACTAGCATTATACGCTAAACAGTTTTTTGGAGATAAAACTCTATACAATTCTATTTTCATGAAAACAAATCTCAGAGAAGGATTGACTAGGTACCGATGTGTTATTAGCCTAAAGGTTGATTTTGAGTTCTCCTTTAAACAGTTTTGCCTTCGCTCATCAGGCTGGCTATCCGACACACGAAAGAGGAACATTAACACTATTGTCCTGCACACGCGATACAGCACTGAACTGTCCCTCCAAACCACACGGGCTCTCTGAACACTCAGCTGTTATTAGTCAAATAAGACAGAAACACACACAGGAGAACTGAGAGATCTTTAATTATATTAATGACAGAAGAGAGCGAATACAGGACAGTCTCTGACTCCATATGAAACACATCTATAAACACACAACAATATTACTAATAACTCTCTTCTGATTTACATGCAAGCTCTGGTTAATATTTCATATAAACTTACATCTCTTCTGATATACTTTCTGCACTTTAAATCAAGTGTTTTTAGGGATAGTTCACCCGAAACTGTCCACTGACTTCATAAAATCATCTCACAATATTGTCTTTTATGATCCACAGAAGAAAGAAAGTTATTCATCTTTTGATGGACATGAGAGCATATGTACATTATGTTAGTTATCTTTGTAACAGCGTGAATAGTAGTTATTTGGTCAAAAGAGTATAATGTACATGCATTAGGAACACAAGCAAGACTACGAGCTGAAACTACTTGATGTTGTTGATCTGAAGAGAGAATAAACCGTGCTTTATACAACCCTCCTCTCCATCGTATGATAAAGTCCTGCTGATCCAGGAACACTACATCAACACATCTTTAATAAAACTCTGTTCACCGCATGTGTTTTATGGAGCAATTGCTGAATCAAGAGTTGTCTCTAATAAAGCTGAATGCCATAGAAAGGACGGGTGTGTGAGTGAACAGAATGGCATTGACTTCATGATGTTGAAACTGAAGTGCAGGTCCGTGAATGAGACGCAGGCTTTAGCACTGAAACACAGCAGGCAAACGCTGCACTACTGACTCCAGAGTGTTCGTCTCGTGTGTGTGTCGAATCCTGATGTGTGTCAGTTCTACAACAGCAGTGAACAGACTTCATTAACCCTCCGACATCAGGCCTGATGAACATGTACAGGACACAGTCAGCCAGCGGGTTCAGGAACAGGAGATATGAAGAAAAAACCACAAATATATTAAGCAGTTCCACACTGTACAAACGGAAACCTCCATATTCTGTAATAAAATGCATGATTGTGTTGGGGAGAATGAGAAAAGTGTAAGTCAGAAGCACCAGGAACAAACTGCCCAAAATCTTTCTACGCTTTACAGAAGTAAGAGATATTGCGCGTGAAAGACCGCGACAAGTGCCGATAAAACACAGAATGATTATCGGGTAGGGGATTAAACAGCCGATCGATAGGGGCAGATCATCAAACAGATAATCAGATTTAAAGTCTGCAAAGATCAGAGGAACAAACCAGACGATGACAGAAATAACACAGCAGACTTTCAGTGAATGATGAGTTCTGTACCAGATAGGATGAGAAACCAGAAGATATCGTTCAAGAGCAACACATGCCATAAAATACATACCCGCAATCAAACTATACCAATATGCATTAACTGCATCCCGTGACCTTGTGAATGTCCATGTTAATCTACAAATGATCTGAATGAGATCTGACAGAATCAAATGAATAACAAACACTGGAGTGGAGCGCTGAGATTTGAGAAGAGCACACAACGCACACAGAGTTAAGATCATGACTACAATCTCAATGACGGCAATGGTCCTGGTGATTATTGGTTCTGCATCATCAAGTTTACTGAAAAATTCCCTCATCTGACGCATCCGTTCATCTTCAAAATATCCTCCACTTGATCCGCTGATATAATAATCTCCTCCAGTTGATCCGTTGATGCTGGCGTTTTGTCCCATTGTTTCATGAAATCTTGACAGGCACTAAATAACAAACCAGTCATTAGTTTAAAAACATGCATTCATTTACTATTGTAATCATATATTTATCTTTATTAAAACAAATAGGGAAAATAATGTGTTAATAATAACTCAATAATATATAATAATAACACATAAGTTGTTTTCTGTGTGATTGTTGAAAGTTTGTGTTGCTCAGTTTGCTTGACATGTTGTTTAGAGGAGTGTGTGTAATATTAGAAAGCTTGAAATACGTGAAATGTCAGATTAAAGTTAGTAAATCCTCCATTTGAACAATATGACAGAAGCAAGAATGCTGTTGTTGTGAATATTCAGTCCAGCACAGCTGCAAGTGTACAATGGTTTATTAAAGGAGGAATAAATCTTGAAGAACTTACGTTACTGACAGGAGTGTGTGTTTGGTCTGCAGGTCAAAGCAGAAGTTTGTGGAATAACACACAGACTGACAGATGTTTCACAAGTTTCCACTGAGCTCTTCATTCACTGCACACACTGGAGAAACACACATCTTAAAGATTCTTGATCTAACGGAGGAAATGCCTGAGATTACACACACACACACACACACACACACACACACACACACTATTTGATCCAACGCGTGAAACTGGAATTACTTAAACACACAATTCACTCACAAATAAACTTATAAACTCAACTTTATATCTGATGCTTTCATTTTTAAAGTTCACACTCAGAGTTTATAACTCTTTCCCCGCAAGTGTTTTAAGAATAATATATTAAAATATATCGCAAATAGTGTAAGGCGAGGCACTACAGGTGAATAGGGTAAAAATATTAACTTACAGATATCACCATGAAACTTTACCAGTTGATTACTCACATGAATAGGAGAAAAAAAAATAATTAATTTTTAATAATAAGTAATAATTAATTTTATTTTTACATATAGCTAATATAATAGGACTGCAACGTTTAGTCGACATTGTCCACAAATATCTTTGTTGTCGAGTAGTCGTCTGATCTCACGTGACCTAATGTAAGGACGTGCAATATCGTGATTTGACCGCTACGGCGCTGTGGCGCTAGAGTGTAATGCAGCCCTTACAAATGCAAGTGCGGTAAAAGAAAAAACAGCGCGAATTATGACGGAGTGCAAACGAATCCGAACTAGCAAGGTTTGACAAAGTTTTACAAAACTTAAAACCAAGAATGCTGTCATGTGCAATACATGCATGGCAGAACGTGCTTTTCACAGGAGCACCACATGCATGTTGGAGCACTTAAAGAGGAAACATCCGGGCAAAAGAGGAGCCGGTGAGAACTGAGTGTTCTCCAGCTGGAGCTAGCTAACTAGCGGTACCGTAAATCTCTTTATTAGATCATGCAATACTATTAATACTAATAAGATCATCATCAATAATAATATAATTACAGTAATGTGATGATTTATTTTGCATAGAATAAAGCTTGATTGAGCTTAGGAGTCAGGGCTGTTTTTATTATTGTAACACTATTAGGCATTATAGTCTTATTACTTGCCTGTATTTTGTTCCATAATCATGAAGACTTACAAAAGGAGATGTTAGGAATAATATCATGGCAGTTACTTTTTCTTTTTCATTCTCTAAATCAAAAGGTGAATGAGAACATCTCTGTCATTTTATATCTATAATAATGGTTTGCAGATTAATATTTTACCCTTTTTGTGTCCTGAAGTTATGACCCTTTTTCTGTTTCAGTTCTATGAAAAGCAGTGGGCTTATTAAACAATGCTTAGAGAGCATTTGTGTGTGATTTGAGTTAAACTTATAGAGAATGACCTGTTTAGTTGGCTCTAAGTTCATTTAAACCACTATTTCAAAAGCTGAACTGATTTTCTTGTTTTATATTATAGTAAGAATATGTATAACTCAATGTTTTAACTAATGGAATAGAAAACATTACCAGAACCGTGGGAACCGTTAACTCAATGTTAATGGAAAAAGCTGAATAAACGTTCCAGACTTAATGATTAGCTGGCAAAATATTTGACGATTAGTCGATTAATCGTTCTAATAATCATTAGTTAATCGATTATCAAAATAATCGTTTTTTTGCAGCCCTAGCTAATAGCTAATTAAATATGAGCCGATTTGCATATATTTTGAAGTGACGAATCTGACCATTGGAAAAAAACAAAGTTCAAAATTATTTGAGCATTTTGTTGATATATTCAGTGAAAAGACATTACCAGAGGGGGTTATGAATATCTCCTTTTGTTACCCTGTCAATCAGAAAATACTGCCAATAACCTTAAACAATTGATTTC